CTCATTTCAAACTTTCATTGCGACGAACGCCCTTCCGTCCAACATCCGTCATTTCCTCCGTTAATTAAGAAAAAGATGTCAATTTCTTTACAGTCTACAGGGGTAAAACCGTAATTAAGAAAAAGATGACTTCAACCTTGGTTATTTTGAGCAGTAGCAAAATTCTTCAGTTTATTGGATGAGTTTCATGAAGCTTCTAGCTGCCATTTCATAGAAAAACTTTCAAAAAAGAAACCCACAGATGAATTGTTTGTTGGGATTTAGACCAAAAAGATTGGAAACCCTGTAAGTATACAAAGTAACTCAATAAGGTCGAAGAAAATCTAAAAAGAAAAAAGGATGATTAAAAACCTGTGGAAGACGTCCAACAATATCAATGCCGTATTTTCATATAAACAAGATCCCATCCATCCCCAAAGTACTTTGCTTTATTTTGTATAAACAACAGTTGTTTATTTACACATCATTTTACCAAAAATAAAAAATAAAAATCTTGAGAGCACTTTCCAATCTCTTGATGAGCTTGAGTCCACGAACTCAACTATCGGTTCTAAATGTTGAACGTGAATATCATTTGCAGGAAAGGTAATTGGGCTTCCTTTTTCAGGCTCTTTTGAGTTTTGTTGAGCTCAAATATCACTTTTTTAAATTTTAGAACGCACAAGAAATTATAATTTTATCGATGAAATAAATTTTATACAGTTTTGCACACACACCAAAAATCTTAACCAAACACACTAGAGCATCTCACCAATTATTTTGCTAGATTATTTCCTCTCACCAAGCACTATCTCTCTTCTCACTTCACTCTCTACCTCACGGCTCTCCTGTCACTCTCACTTATTCTCACACTTCTCACTCTTCACTCTTCTTTAACACTTACATACAAAATATAGCAACACACATATATATAGACATCCAAGGTCAGTGGCTTCATCTTCTAGGAAATTCTAGCATGTCGGTGAAGTGGCCGTCTTCAATCTTCTAGAGAATCCACAACGGTGAAGATAAATTATTCAGCGTGCTTTTGGATTCATCTTCAATTCCAGATTTTTTTTGTTATGCTAATGAACTCCAATTTCCAGCAGCTTCCAAATTATTTTCAAAAGGCGGTGCTGGATTCCTCAGGCTCCAGTAAACATCTTGTTGAAGCTACTGACCAAGAAATAGCACCATACAAGAATGGAGAAACAATTGTAGAAATGGAAGACAAATGGAAAGTTTTCAAGAAGCAAAAGGAAGTGGAATGAGAACCATCTCGTGCTGTTTAAAGAAGATGATGAAAATGAAGGGTTCCATGGTGAGGACGGTTTTACCCTTGTTGATTGGAAAGAAAATGGCATCTTTTTCTTAATTAACGGAAGAAATGACGGATGTTGGACGGAAGGACGTTCGTCGCAATAAAAGGTTGAAATGAGGGCAAAAATGCCAAAAAATGAAAGGTGGGGACGTTTTCCACAATTACGCTGAAAGGTAGGGACGTTTTGTGCCAATTACCCTTCTAAAATTAGATGGCAAGTTTCACTTTTCAAAGATCAGATATATCATATTTACAATTTTCATCCCAAACCCTAAAATTATTTCCACTATTTTCTCCCTCTCTTCGTAGCCGTATCCCTCCACAGCCACCATTTTCCCCCTCTCTTCATATCTCTCCTCCCTCCACCACAGTCACTCATGATGTCGCCGCCTCGCCCCCTCACCATACCCAGCACCAAAAGATCATTGTTGATGGTAGATTGATGGCGCATTTATTCCTCTATTGTTCTTCATCTATTCATCTATTGTTCACCGTTGATGGCGCCATTGATGGTGTCGACCGTTGCTAGCAGTGAGTAAATGTTGTTCACCGTTGATGGTAGATTTGGTGACAACGGTGTGTGGTGATGATGGTGGATTTGGCTGTAGCAGATCTGGCAGTGGTGGTGAGGGTAAGGTGTTGGTACTTTGATGATTTTTTATTAACAATGAATGAGTGTTGGTTGGAAATGATGGTTGTGGTGGTGGTAGAGATGGTGGGATGGCGATGACGGTAGTGCGGTTATGGCTTTTGTGGTGGTGGTGGTGGGGTGGAGAGACGGCAGTACCGTGGTTACTCTTGTGGGGTGTTGGCGATTTTGCATTTGGTTTGTTGGTTGTAAGGTGGTGCTGCTTGTGGTGTTTGAGATGATGGGGCTGTCGGGAGATCGTGGTGGTGGTTTTTGGGACGACAGTTGCGACGTCAATGTGGCTGACGACAGTGTTGATGTTAGTGGCAATCACAAATGATTTAATTTGTAATCAATAAAGAACATGTGACCAATGAGAAAGAGGAATTATGACCAAGAAATAACATAAGACCTAAAAAATTGTTAATTTGTGAATATTTAATGAATTGTGATTTATAATATTTATGATTTGTGATCAAAATAAAATTGTGACATATAAATTTTTTATCTGTGATCGATGAACAAACTGTCACATATACACTTTTTGAATTGTGACAATAAAATAATTTGTGACATATAAAAATTTTGATCTGTGATCGAAAAATAATATGTGACTAATTAAATTTGTGAATTTGTGATCAAATTATATATATATATATATANTGGACCATACAAACAACTTGGGGGCAGGTAAAAAGACGTTTTAAGGGTTGATTATTATTAGAAAAAAGCCACGAGGCCAGGGCCATGTGGCGCCCCTATTTTTAGGCTTCTTTTTGGCAAAAAAATTGGATGCACAGAAATTGTCACAGAAGTTCTCCAGAATACACACATTTGGACTCTATCACCTAACTCAATGAAGTTTTCCAGACATCATGATGTATAAAAAATATCAAAAATGTGTTTGGACTCTAAAGCTGTGAGTTTTCTGTACCCTTATTGTGAAAAACTTTGCTTGTACGTGAGTAGAGTTACGTTTTTGGCCCTGGCCAAAAAGCAGGTTTGTTATCATTAACTTCAGTGATACTAGATGACAATGTCACGTTGGCCCATAGACCCCTAGCTAATAGGAGGGGGACATGTGGCCCCCTGGACGGATAGGGCCCTGTCCTTCTGGAATAATTTTAGCTTTTAAGAGTATTTCTTGCAGATTCTCCATTTATAAAGAATAAATTTTTTTGTAGATTTAGAAAATTTTTTAGCACTCCAACAATGCTCTCTTATCTTATTTTTTTCAATGAATATTTATTATTTTCTCCTCATCTCTTATTTAGCATAATCTTTTTATATGTTAATAATCAATCAATTCAAATATTATTTGAAATTTTTAAATTGAAGAGCCAAACTTACTTTTTATTTTAAAAAAGTCAGAATAAATATTTCTTTAAAATTTATTTTTAAGCATTGATTTTTTAAAATAAAAAGTATCTAGTGTTTAGGGATTCTCCGTCATCATTGACTCACTTTAGCCCCCGTTTGGCCCCCTTTAAAACTCTTCAATTTAATTTAATTTTTTCCCTCCCCTACTTTCAACCACACAATCTTAAAAAAAAAAAAAAATACTATTCTCTCCATTATAAATTCAAATAATGAGGATCAAACGGGGCGTTAGGGTCAAGGTGACTAATTTATTCAGGGTTATCCTCAAATTACATTTGAATATAGTTTATTTAGGGCCTGTTTGGGCCCGATTTTTTCACCCAAAAAATTGATTTTTTAACCGTTATTTCACTATTTCCGTCGTCATATTTGATTTCTTCTCTCACAGGTGGACCCCATTTTTCTCTTAACGGTCAAAAAATCAATTCTCAAAATCATTTTCAAACAGGCTCTATATATTGAGCACTCTACGAGTTCCCACCCGACACCTCAAATTGAAGTGATTTTGAGCCTACAAATATAAAGTCAGTGTTTATACATTTGACAAAAATGAATAAAATTAAATACAAAAATAAATAGTAGTAAAATAATCATTCTCAATTGTCATTCCGAAATTTCAGATGGTAAGAGAAGAGAACGAGGGATTGAGACAAAAAGTGATAGCAAATGGTATCATTCGTGTAAAACTTTGCAGTGTCCAAAATCGAAACCCAGGTTTTAACATCTAAAATATTAGATATTACATCCCACGTGGATTAAATATGAAACAAATAAACAACGTACAAACATTTGACATCTTAAGATGAAACTCCAAATTTTCATATAACATCAAATTTCATTAAACTCAAATGAACATTTTGATCTAACTAAGACTCAAACAAGCATACCAATTTCAAGATTAATCATCTCAACCAAGTCAACTTTACACAATAAAGGTAAATCCTCATTTAGAGCACACCGACACTCCATGAAAAGTGAAAAAAACAAAGGTGGCGCTAAAGTAAACAGAGCAGAACTGCTCCTCCTTGCGAGATCCAGCTAATGAAATCATAACACGACGAAACCCAAAAGAAAAAGAAGGATTAATATTCACTCATCCCCCCAACTACTTAAAAATTTGTTGTGGGGTTGCTATCTGCCTGGCTCTATAATGCATTATTGCTGGTAGTACCATCACATTTCAAGTAACACATAATTCAGCAGACAAAAGGGTCCCTACCTCTACCATCGCTTCATTTTGAATCCACTTCCATGTGGCTGCTGTTGAGCCAAAACACGATCAGAAATTAACTCTGGTCGATCTCTATGATAATTTACTTTTAGCAAGAATCCCGTGAAAGCTATCTCATATAAGATAGGAGAGATACTATAACTTGAATCAGTTTCGAGATTCAAGAAAGCAAAGTAGTAATAGGTGCAGCTAGCATTTAAGCAACTTCCGTCTTCAAGATATGCGTTTTCCAAAACTTTCGACAGTTCGTCATCTTAGAAATGCGGTGTCAGAGAGCTTATGTCCCGACAAGGGATGCCCTAATCAAGAAACAGATCTGTTCGAACTAGTTTAAACTACGAGTTTGAGAAGCATATAAGAGGCAAAGGAGGAGTTAAAACAAAGTTCAAGCACAATCAAACTTCTACATCCTAGATCAGGTCAAGCTCAAAAGAAAAATTTCCCATTTGGGGAAGAACAACTGATAAAACCTTCCATGGAATTTGATCACTGAAATAAAACACAAATACGAAGGTCGATAACCCAAATTGTCAGCTACGAAAAACAAATGCTAGCAAGCTACACCCTTCACGGAGACAAATACAGTCAATAAAGGGGATACGGGATATACAAACCAAAAAGAACGCAGTCGATGAAAATACAGCTAGAAGGTCAGCTTCTAATCATTTTCAAATTTTTATCATAAACTCCTAAATAATTGACTACTCTGTACAAATCCCATCAAAACGCTTACCATATACAGTCAACCACAAAGCGTTTACTGTACGATATTACACAGAACAATTTGTGTGAGTCTTTATGGACTCGAAGTAGAAGCTTCTTGTCTAGGTTCTCTCAGGTACCCAAGAAGTGCTTCAGCCTGCCAAACACAACCATACACCATCAATATAATTCTTCCCATGAAAACATCGTTGGGTCAAGAAAATTTTAGCTTTCAACTCATTGTATCCAAAACTACAAGCAAAATCCCTTCGTAGCGGTGTATTCGTAATTTAATAAATGTTTAATAAACAAAGAAGACAACAGGAAAAATCCATCTCAAGATCGCATCATAAATAATTATGTAATAATCAAAATTATTAGTTCTTCATTTTCAAGTTCAGTATTCAAAATATTATCATCAATAATTCAACAAGCTCCATACAACTTGCTCGACTTTCTGTGCCACTCATTAAATGATAAAGTTAAAAGATATGAATTTCATATATCTGCCTACACATATCAAATGTATAGCTACAAAATTTATGATCACTGTTCTTGGACACTGGAATTGTATATTAAAATTGGATCTTTAACAAACTCCATTCAATTTTTAACATATAAATCCAAGAAGCCAATTCAATCCTGCAAAACACATCAATATCATGGTAAAAATATTTATATAATTTAAGGGCAATAAGTTCCAAAACTTACCTTATGCTTGGCTTTAGCTGTACCAGACTGTGACAGGGCAACAAGTGGTGGAATGCCTCCCTCCCTAACAAGCAATCCCCTGTTCCGAACACTTTCCCTACACAACAGCAACAGAGTCAAAACCGCAAATTCCTTCCCCTTATTGCTCCCATCCTCGATTGCCTCGACCAGTGCCGCAATACCACCTTCCTCTGTGATTGCCTCCCGTCCCATCTCAACAGCAGCCAAACTACTCAGAACCACCATTGCCTTCTCCGACAATCCAGTCCCCTGTTCTCCCACAAGCCCCACCAATGGCCTCACAGCCCCCGCTTTCACTGTCCTCTCCTTATTCAACCTCACTGAGCATAACTTATACAGAGTTGTTAGTGCATCCTTTTTTCCTCTACTGGTACCGTTTATGAGCAGTGCCACTAACGGAGGTATTGCACCGCAGGCCCCAATAGACAATTTATACTCTTCAATCAGAGCAAAGCTTAGCAAAGCGCATGCTGAGTTCTGTTTGGAGGTTTCAGTGCCTGTTTTTAACACATAAATTAAGGATTTTACAGCACCTGCATCTGTGATCGCTCTTTTGTTGCTTTCAAGGAGGGACAGATTGAGTAAAGCTGTGACTGCATGTTCTTGAGTCATTGGATCCGAGCACCTGAGAAGCGATACCAAAGCAGGCACTGCACCGGATTCTCCAATTAAGGCGCGATTATCAGCCCGATTTTTTGCCAAAAGTCTCAATTTAGCAGCTGCTGATCTTTTAATAGCAACTGAGGACGATTGCAACCCGTCCACGCAGAGTTTTACAGTAGGCTGAAGATCTTCAGGAGAAATGCTTTCAATAATCTCTGTGGAAAACGTCTCTCTCTGCAAAAAGCCGGAACAGGGTTCGGGCTCCGGTTCCTGCATAGGTCTTTGGCCCGGGCCAGGATCGGGGAGGCTCGCGAGGCGCTGGAGCTCTCCAGATATGTCACTGGAGCACGCGGAGAAGTCGCTGAAAGCTTGGGAAATGTCAAAAAACTCGTCGATTTTCGAAGAAGACGAAGCTTTCGAATTAACAGGCGATTTAATGGCAAGGTCCCCGAGGCGAACGTCTATAACCGTGTCGGTTAGGTTTTCAGAAATGTTGGATGATTGATCGTAGATGGGAGCAGAAAGATCAGTCTGAAAGTGCTTTGAACGTACAGTACGCATGAAGCGGCCCATCGAGCGGCTGATACTGGCGAAGGACGGCGGCGGAGTGTTGTAATAAGGCTGTGTTCGGGGAATGTGAATAGTACTGTTGGGATTGGAGTGTGAATGAGAGCGTGAATCTTCTGAAGAAACCATGACTGGTAAAAGTTAAAACCCACAACAAACTAAGCCTTATATTTGAGCAGTCGGTGAAATTCTTGAAGGTTTTCAAGCAATTTTCATGGCTTGTTATCAAATTTGAGAAATGAAGGATTTTTATAACTTAACTGTATGTGGATTGAATGACTGGAGATGGTTTATCAACTGTGGGACGCACTAAACTGAATGGACCCATTGGAGTTTTGAGTGGGCAATGGCCATGCGACTTGCACTTCTGAGGAAAACGGAAGGAGAAATCAATTTCTCATGTTAGGTTGAAAGGAGAAACAGGGATTCCGCAAAAGTTGTGTTTGGGACTTACTAAATTTGTTGAAAAGTGATTAAAAGTACATTTTTAATTTCTAATATACTAAAAAAAAATGTTGAACCCCAACCTTGAGGGCCTCTACCACCTAGCCCTTAAAGCTTTGTGAGGAAGGTAAATTGCGGAATGTGCTTCAGCAGGTCAGAAAACAAGAGCTACTTATACAATGCATCTACAAAAGTCCAATTTCATATTTCAAAAATCGAATTTTCACACTACAACTGTCAACAAGACGTGAGATAACCTCACTTCTGTTATTTACATAATTGAGCTATTCTCAAGAGGGCTAGTTTCTAATATACTAGCTTTAACGGAAGGACACTGTAGATGTTAATGCTATTACACGCTTTTTCCAAAAGAAGATGTCTATTACTTAAAGTATACTACTTTAAAGATTTTTGGCACAGAGATAAATCTATTTAACTGCTGAAAAAATAGTTTTTTTGTCAAAGAGAAAAATATGTCATTTTCAATTGAAAAATAAAATAAAATAATTGAAGTGGGTTTTCAAGTATGGTTTTGCCATCCCCTAGATTCTACCATGCTTTCAAGGCTAAATTAAATGTCGTTGACCTCAAAATTCGATGATGTGGTTAATAGATCTCGATCACCTTTTCGTCCACCTAGACATTACCTCATGATGAAACACATCGTTAGGGTGCAAGATTACTGATATAGAAAAAAGTATGTCAATCGTTTGCAATTTGATAGTTAAGTCAACTATCAGAGCGACATAGAATGAGCGAAAGAGAGGAGGGAGGGGAATTAGGCTAGGATTTAGAATATATTCTTTTTTGCGGAAAATGAATTTATATATATAAAGGAAAAGAAATGTTCCAGAAGAGTTAGTGGATCAAATTCACCCAAAAAAAGGTTGCCGGATTTGATCGACCAAATCCAATTGATTAATGTAAGATCCCTGATTCCCCTCTGTCACATGTATACTGTATATAATTTATAAATATAACATGGGAATATTCTACACAGGCTACGGCACTTTGTGCAGTTGATTTAAAATAAAAAATAAAAATAAAAATTGTCTATCTTCAATGGAATGATGCCACATCCACAAAGCAAGGTCCGAATAAATATTGTAATTTATTCAATTAATTATGCTTGGAACTATTGTGTGGACTCTATGGTTGAAAAGTGATTTGATATATGATTTGGCACATTTGGCATTGCTCTCGCAAATGGATATTGTCGTCACTCACAAACTGTTAGACTATATGGCCGGTGGACTGTTGCACCATTCTGTCTTCTTTTGCCTTAAAACGACGTTTGCAGCAAGTGAAGTCTCAGTATAGGTTATGTTAATTTGTTCTAGTCCTATATTGAATAATACAAGAAGTGGAGCATCATTTTTTTAATTTATTAAATTGAATCAGTTTGACTGGTACTTTTCAAATTGGCCGAGTCAAAGAACAAATATTGCACTTTAACCACCAAGCTGCTCCAACCCTTCCTCTGGTTATTACATCACTTGGCTGCTCCAACCAGGAATCGAACTCCCCACACTTGGTTCCAGGAATCGAACTCCCCACACTGTTGCACCATTCTGTCTTCTTTTGCCTTAAAACGACGTTTGCAGCAAGTGAAGTCTCAGTATAGGTTATGTTAATTTGTTCTAGTCCTATATTGAATAATACAAGAAGTGGAGCATCATTTTTTTAATTTATTAAATTGAATCAGTTTGACTGGTACTTTTCAAATTGGCCGAGTCAAAGAACAAATATTGCACTTTAACCAATTTTTTTTTTTCATTCACCACATTGACCTCTTATATTGAAAAAGACAATTTTCATAATTACAAAAATATGTTAATTCTTTGAAAGACAATAATACCCTTAAAAGTTTAAATAAATTCAATTATTTTTCCACGCAAATTTTAAAATCAATTTTGCTTATCAATTTCTTTAATACAATTAAAAAGAAATTTATTCTTCTATCTGCTAGAACATTGAAATCTCACAAAATTATCAAAGGTTCAACAAAAAAAGTACTCACAGTCGGCACTCGAAATTGATAAGTGTATATACGTATTTTTAATTTCGTTTTAGTTAAAGTAGCATATTGTTTGAATCTTTAAATCTTATTTCGATAAAGGCAGATTAATTATTACAATATTAAACACAGATGTATTATTTTTTTAGCAAAAACGAAGAAAAAAATCATCTGTATGCATATTATTTCAGGAAAAATTCGTAGTTGTCTAAAATAAATATTTGAACATTATTTCGTTGGGAAAAAAATTCAGCCAGCCCAGACGTCTGGGCAGGCCACTGTTTCGCCGACCCCCCTTTTTTATTTATTTTGTTATTTATTTATTTTTTAATGTTTAAGATTTTATAATTTATTTATTCATATTTAATGTATATTGTTTATTGAAGTAAATACTAATAAATATTTAATAATAATTAAAATAAATATTTTTGAAACAATTAAAATAATCAATGAATTATTATAAGTATAAAATTAAATTAAATATGAAATGAACAATTTAAAAAATTATATATTAATTCCTTATGTTTAACCTATTATCTAATATTTTTAATTTGTGGCAGATATTACATCAGCATGTGTCCCAATTTATTACTTCGGTGAATTTCAAAATAATGAAAATGCTCAGTGAGAATAGAAATGAACGAGTGAAGGATATGGGGTTAAAATAATTTTTATAACAAGGAATGCATCGTTTATAGAAATGTACCATGATATACAAAACATGCTTAACATCGATCCCTCTCACTACGATATGAAATTGGGATTTTTGTTTCATAAGCATTCAACAATTTCGATTTCACCTATGAAAGTTACTTCTGAAGTGGAGATGAAGCATCTAATTAAATTAAATCAATGTCGAAAATCGACTCCTATTTGCGTAACTTTATTGAGAAAAAATGTCCCCGAGGGTGAACACGAAGTTTCCGATGAAGAGAATCGTAATGTAAATGATGTTTGGGATACAATTCAGATTGTTCGTAAAAATGATGTGGTTATTCCCGAGACCACTGCTACTCACCATGATCACACTGTTACGCACAGAATTCTATCGACAGTTGAAGACAACGAGAATGAAAACGCATTTACAAACGAGGATTTGATTGCTCTATCCTGTAAAAGACCTGAATCGGGTGGGATCTTACAGGCCAGACCAAGTACACGGTCCTCTAATTGTTCTCGATTATGAAGATGTGTATGTCGAGCAACTGTTTGAATCAAAGAAAGAATTGCAAGTAGCATGCACCGGATTACTTTAAAGCATAACTTCAAGTTTAAAGTGAAGAAATCAAACAAGTCGACGTACAAAATTATCTGCCTTGACGACAGTTTCCATCAGCGTTTGTAAGCGACGAAGGTGGACACGAATGAGTTTTTTGTAGTTCGTAAGTATACACGGGAACATACTTGCGAAATGAGT